CAGTCGTGAACAAACAGCGGCAGCACTACCAGGGTGTGGTGGGTTTCAGGCTGGTCACCTGGCTCCTATTTAAAAGCCGCATAAGCCCAATAACGGTGTCGTGACAAAGGTCAATGTGACTGACCTTTTAAAACTAAAGTCATTGACTCCGTCACTTCCGAAGCGATGGCTTACTTCCTGCTGCCTTACAGTTCGCATTTGGTTGTGCCAAGGCTAGAGATGTGCCCTCAAAATAAAAACGCCGAGTGACGCTGGGGACGTCTCTTCTACCAAACTCCCAAGGAACTCCGTGATTATATCCTTTCCAAGTTGCGAGCGGCAGTAAAGTAAGGTAAGTAATCTGAGATTCAATCCGATATGGGTACAGTCCATCAGACTGCTGGCCGGCGTGCAGTGCTGGATACGTCTACAGGAACTTGACATTCTTAGCCGGATCACGATTTCCCCTTTTATTTCTCATGATTGTATCATACGAATTTTCAATAAATCCTGTCCGCTTTTCCCAATAATTCTCCATCATTCCGTTTCGAAAGAGGTCAAAGTAACAATAGTCAGTTTGCGTTCAGTTGCTAGAAACATGCTGAATCCGTGCCTTGATTTTCATTAGAACGGAAAGTTCTAGGCTATCCAGCCCAACAAATCGAGTTGTAGCGCTCCATTAATTACCCTCGGTTCCACCAATCCAGTTACATCGAGAAGAACTTAGNAGCAGCTCCCGGCGTCAGAAATTATCGCAACTCTGTCATCCATGGGATTTGTAGTAATACTACGGGGTAATCAGATTGTCCTTGATACTTTCACTTTGCACTATTATTGTCACCGAACATATCTCTTGTACGTCTGTGAAAATGAAGGTGAATTGACTGCCTGTTGAAGGAGCACCAGTATTCTCTTCGAGGAGTTTTATTCAGTCATTCATACATACTCCGTGTAATAAGACTATTAAAATGGGCTTAGTCGGGTTACTTCCGGTCGTAAGCATTTAAAAGGCAACAATTATCATTATAATGGTTTATTGAGTAGATCTCACCACAACTTATGATTTATCCGCCCAAGTGCTATCCTGAATACAACAGGGTGATGTCGATCACCCTATTTGGTGGCAGACTAGATCTTCGCATCCCACAATACTTGCGGCTTTTTGTTGCAGAGGGGAGATCATTTTTGCCAATCAGAACTGGGATCGTCTTCAGTTATTGCTACTGAAAGTCCACTATTCAGTGAAAATAATGCCTCACTGATTCACGGTTACCGACCTATCTACGACCGGGGAAACGGACCAAGGGGGAGGTCACATAATTGTAATCTCCTAAGTAAGCTGATTACGTAACACAATCACGGAGACCTCTTTGCCTCCATTGTCGGGATATTCCAACGAATACACTTTTAATCTGTCACATTCTTATTGTACTAAACCAGTTAGTACTTGTGTCAATGAAAAGAATTTTCCACCTCTGATCCTGTTCTATTCATCGTTCAGACGATTCCTGGAACTCCTTCGAGAGTAAAAGTGACTGAATGAGCCTTTAAGCCACCTGTTAACTTTACCCACAGATGAGTAATGTGTAATCGGATTGGATAGATGTTGTCTAATTAAGTAGACTGTGATACACAATTCTTAACTCGTTCATTTGTTCTGTTCCCGGTCGATAAAAATTAGGCTAAGTTCGTCACCATGCCAACCTAGTGATGCAAACAAAGTTGTCTGAAGGAAAACTTTAAGCAGATGTTTTTTATTACGCCCCGCCCACACACCACTCACCCACCCGGGTACGTTTTAGAGTGGTACAATAATGAATTGACCAGATCCCTTTGACTTGTTTTCTAGGATGTTTATTAAATCTTATTTGTTTTTCCCTGTCCCTTCCTGCATTGCTTACCTCCGACTGGCAGCGGGGTCTGGTGTTTACGTCAGCAAGTAATTTGGTCTAATTTTGTAGCTGAAGTCAGCAGATCTCTCATTGTTTACCCGTTACCTGATAGACTGTCATATGTCGATCGCATCAGTTTGCACCAATGCACCAACGCGTGTCTTTTGTGCTGTTGATTAAAATACAATTCTTCTCATGGCATTCACAATAACTTCGGGTCTGGAACACAGATTGTATGTGTCCACAGACGACGTGCACAATATCACAGAGCGAGAGCATACACATAGATACGAGATAGGTCTGAACACTATAGAGCACTTGTCCCAATGGCCACAAAAGTCGTTTTTCCCTAAAAAACAAAATGATCACATCAGAGAATGCACACTACAAACACCAGTAGCTTTCTCCCAGCTAGTAAAGTAAGAACACAGGTGGTAAGCAACGAACGTGTAATGGCCACAACAAAGCCAGGTTGGAATTACATCGTCAACTCATCTGCTTATATACTGTTGTCATGAAGACCTGCTATTCTGCAATGGCAACCAATGACTTAAGCCCCTGGACTTGGAGTAGCTAACTGCATAAGGCCCCACTGGGATAGGCGTGGTACTGAACCGAATGACAGCCCACCACTAAAACTGGGTGACAGTGGTGGGGCTCGAATCTCAGACTATGCGATCCAAAGCAAGTCGATGAGAACGACCAAACCACTGGGTTATTGTGTTTGAGGTTTACTGTGATATTCTAAGCAGTACGTTGCTCCCTGAGGTAACAACCACGGGTCTCTGCATTCTGCCATAACGAATCCTTTAGTTGGTGGTTGATCACAGTGACCTGAAAAAAATGTGAGGAATGAAGCTAACGTTTGCTGTGGTGATTAGCATCAATCGTATCCTTTTTCGTGTAGTTTGGGTTAGTAATCTTCAGAATACATATTGACACGTGGCATTATGAACTGGCAAGTACAGTGATTCACTCAGGGGCGTCGAATGACAGGGTAGCTGAATCCTATCCACCGGCACTCATAATATCTAGTCTGCTGAGCACCATCGTAAAACTAGGTTTGACCCCGTCATCCTCATCGTACTGGCTTGATCGACTGTCCTTTTATTCTAAAATCCTTCCCTGCCCTTTTTTGTCACCCGAGATTGATCACCGCTTGTTCCCATCGATCGGTTGTATTCGCATCCCGCATCCAGTACGCCGATTAGTATACACTTTTTAGTGATCCAATGTCTACCCGATAGCTTCCGGTCTTTTTTCTTTATTGTCCGAATAGGAACGCAATTTTCACGCAGCCATTGAACTGCATCGCGAAAGTTTGGTTCTCCTGGAAGATTATCGCCAATATCGATGCATTGAGTGAGTTCTTCATTCGAATTTATCGCTTACACCACCTTTAATCACCTACATTTTAGTCGATATTCTACTCTGTAATTCAATTCGTTCTCCGGGTAGTGGGCCTCTTTCTTTCCTGATCGGTGAACTGTTGTTTACTGACAGATGTGTTGATCACGGAGAACAGTTACCGGGATAAAAGGTTGCCAAAGTACTCTATGAGCTCACTGTGGAGTGTTTGTTTATTTTTTTAATCGGAGCCTTAAGCGAGCACTCCCGGAGTTATAATTTGAATATATATATATATATATGCCACATTAGTCACCAAATACCTCAAATCTGAAATCATTTTGCGTTCAGGTCGCATAGTACCTACTACAAAAACCAGCCAACACCGAAACTGTCTGTTTACTATGAGAATTATATGTCAATCAGATGGAGTTCTAACTCCAGACATTAGAGTCCAAAGCATACCGCTTGGTCACCATCACATAGATTCCTTATCCTTGCATAATAGGGTTATCGTGACTAGACCAGACTAACCTCCTGAAAACCCTTCACATCATCGTTTATGAATCAATCCTCTTTCTCTCACTCCCTACTCGCATAGTAGTTTTCCTCACTGACCGGAACGTTCGGGGCATCTCCGGTAGGGACACGGAGCTGGTACGCACCGCTTTCCCAGGGATGAAACAGCTGTTGTTGCTTATAAAATCTAACTGAACGATCTTCTCAGCACGGCATTTGCTGACCACGTCGAGTCGTAACCTAGTGCTGTCTGCCTGTTGAGTTCGTTGGTAGGGGCGACAGTCTCTAGCCATCGTACTCTCCGCCGGTTTCACCTACACGTGTCTTTTCGGAACATGCGAATGAAACAGACGAATCACCAACGGTTTATCTGAAACAATCCTGCTGCTTGCCAGTTGCACGCGGACGTTCCACAGGATAGTGGTGTGAATTCGGGTACAACGGTGTTTTGGACACCGTTTGTAATCTAATTTTAATGAGTCGCGATAGATCGCAGTGATCCATGGAAGTAAAATACTTCGTTTGGTTTTAGGTAACTTGGTCCTACGTAAGGCTGAGTCGAATCCATGAAGGGATCCAAGAAGAATGTGGCACCAGGTGTCACCCCCCTCCCTCGCAGTGCCAGTCCGCAATTCGATTGCATGGCTTGCATGACCGAATACTACCTGTAGGGTAACATTAGTGATGGTGTCATTTTCTGGCGGTTCCGATTCTTACGCATCACAGCCCTTCCTATGACCATTTGTGGTTTCTGTTGCAGACTGAGATCGCTTACCAGGCGAGACTCCGCTACGTCCTCTGGTGTCAACACCAATCGTCCGCGATCGGTTGTTCATTGAAGTAATGCCGATGTATTATTCAACAACAGATATCCATGTAGACAATAATATGTATCTCCGGCTTGCGAAAAAGCATGATGCCAACAGTACCAACAGAGGAGGGGGGATTGGGGTACAAAACAGAGTGAAAATGGAGATCGAACAAGTACAGAGGATACAAATAACAAGAATGTGTTGATATTCACCGATCACACGCACGACGTTGCTTGTAAGAACGACAAACCACGAACGGACCATACTACACACGCAGTCTCCCACTTTTCCTTTTCGATCCATGCCCATTCCTCTTGGCTTTCCGAAGATTTTGCAATTTGTGCGGGTGAATGCGCATGTGTATTTGTGATATTTGTTCTCGCTGGATTGATTTGTGCCATTCTTATTCCTTGTTCCGACCCCGCTTTGTGAACCGTCACATCATTTTCAGACCGATTCATGTAAAGTTGCAAGCTTTCGGCATGCGCATTGAGGATTTGTTGGACGCGGAACTGCAAATGAACTGTGATAATTTCTCCGAACAATCCTACTGTACCGTACAACAAGCATTTGAGTAAGTCATGTCTATTTGTAGGCCTGCCTCTCCGTTCCTGCCCCATTTCAGTTTGTTCAATAGTTTATATA